CCAAATTTCAGCTCAAAATTCGACCGGGAATGCAGTCAAATAAATTCTTGAAACTTACTGCACTTTATATATGCGCAGAATGTGCAGTAAGCTTCAAGAATTTATTTGACTGCCTTCCCGGTCGAATTTTGAGCTAAAATTTGGTATGGACAAACTAGACTTGATGAGGAACATGCTCAAAAAATTTCATCAAAAATTCCACCGAGAACCGCCCCAAACAGTAAAGTTCGGACGGTCCCACCTGTCTCTACGGAGGGACCTGATCTTTTCTGTATATATATATATATAGAGTGCTCTTCTCATCAGGCCGGCCTGACGGGATGCTCCGTCCGGCCGAGCCCATTTGGACACCTTCCCGGTGGAATTGTTTGATGAAATTTTTTGAGCATGTTCCCCATCAAGTCCAATTTGTCCATACCAAATTTCAGCTCAAAATTCGATCGGGAAGGCATTCAAATCATTTTTTGAAGTTGACTGCAGTTTTATATGTATATTTTGACGCAGTCAACTTCAAAAAATGATTTGAGTGCCTTCCCGATCGAATTTTGAGCTGAAATTTGGTATGGACAAACTAGACTTGATGGGGAACATTAGGGGTGGGCAAACGGGTCTTGGAACCGCGGTCCGGTCCGGGTAATGGCGGTTCGGGTCCAAAACGGGCCGGTTCCATTTTTTGTTGCCATAAAACGGTCCGGGTAGGGTCGGGTAATTTTTTTTAAGGAACCGGACCGGTTCCAAAATTAAAAAATAACGGGTACCCGGCCCGGCCCGTTATATATTGTATATTAATTTATTAATAGTTTTGTGATAATCGGTTTTAAAATAGTTTTCTTTCCTTTGCTAGAAGTAGGATTTTAAATTGAGTTGGAGTAACATTCTTTTGTTTTCAAATTATTGATTAAATGTTTCATAAATATCTTATTACTTTTTATTGTTATTCAATTATTCCTTTCTATGGAATTTAATTATTTGTTAAAGATGATTTTGATATATATTTTTTATTATATTGTTATTAAAATATATCAATTGTGTGTACCACCCACCATGTATGTGTCAACTTTGGCTAATACTGAAAATTTAATATAAAAAAAAGCAATCACTATAATATGTGATGTTAGACAACATGTTTAAATACAAATGTTAGAAAATATGTAAATTGGCTATGTTGCATATTTTTGGAATTTCTTTAATTGTTTGAAACTTATATACAAGAAATTATGGAGTATTATTGGACTTTTTCGCTTGTGTTATATGTGCACCACTATGTTGTTATTTTCAAACTTGCTAATGTCCTATATTATTGATTATTGATTTTTGGAACTTCGTGAGTTTTTACTAATTTCAAGACATGAGAATAGAAACCGTAAAACTCGGACCGGACCGACCCGTTTCAAACGGGCCGGGTAATTTCCGGTTCCTATTTTGAAAATTGTAATACCCGGACCGGACCGGACCGTACAATGGAACCGGCGGTTCCACTTTATTTTGCATTACCCGCCCCGACCCGGCCCGTGCCCAGCCCTAGGGAACATGCTCAAAAAATTTCATCAAAAAATTTAACCGGGAAGGTGTCCAAACGGGCTCGGCCGGACGGAGCAGCCCGTCAGGCCGGCCTGACATGAACATTCCTCTATATATATACACACACATATATATATATATATGGAAAATGTTCAAGTAAGGTAGGCCTAAGAATTGAAATTCTTAGGCCTCTTTCATTTGAACTGCTTCCGGGACATATTTCTTGATGAAATTTTTTGAGCATGTTTGTCGTGAAGTGTTGACTATGCCCACCAAGTTTCAGAATAAAATTCAATCAGGAAGTCGGTTAAATAATTTTTTCAAAATTGTGCAGGTTTTTACATATATAGAATGCAGTTTTTTTTCGATAATTTATTTAAACGACTTCCCGATTGAATTTTATTGTGAAACTTGATGGACATAATCTTCAATTCATGGAGAACATGCTCACAAAATTTCATCAAAAAATTCGACCCGGAAGCACCTCAAATGAAAGAGGCCTAAGAATTACAATTCTTAGGCCTACCTTACCTTAACATTGCCCATATATATATATATATATATATATATATATATATATATATATATATACACGAAATAATTACGAAAATGCCACCGTGTCAAAAAAAATTCCAGGTTTTCGTATTTATTTTTTTGCGGTGGCATTTTCGTAATTATTTTTGAGGGGTCTATAAGTTATGATTTATTGGTTAAAAGTTCGTATATTTAGTCTATAAGTTTAACTTCGCAGTTCTCAACCTTATATATATATATATATATATATATATATATATATATATATATATATATATATATATATATATATATATATATATATATATATATATATAGGGAGTGGTTCTAATGAGAACACTCCTTATTGTGAAATGTGAGAACACATCCTAACCCACCATCTCATTAAATTAATGGTCATTAAATAATTGGCTCACAATATAAAGATGGACATTCTCACATTGAAACTTATCTCATACAAATGGAAAGGAGAGACGTTTAACTAATAATGGGCATTAGAGTAATTTTATTATATCATTTAATGGAGTAACGGTTGTAGGCTACAACTTTCCAAAAAAGTACGTAAAAAAATATTAAAATATATAAAATGTTTTTAGTTTAAAATTGATTTAACTTTTTAAATTATAATCCAATTTTATCAAAAATTATATCAAATTAAATAACTTTTTTTATCTTCTATATGACATCAATACTGCATATGTTATTTTTTTTAAATAGTTATTTTTTTGTATATAATAAATCACAACAAGTATCTCCGGCTATCACACTCATAAGAACATGAATCTAACGCACAACAATCAATATTTAATCCACACGAAAAGCAGTATCTCACAAATAGTTTGTATATAAAGCACCCGAGTAAGTATATCGATCACAAAAAATAGTATCTAACGCACAACAATTAAGAATTAATATTGAACACGTAAGGATTTCATATAATTTAAAGTTTATTCTATTATATAATACACATCAACTAGTATCTATAGCACAATAAGTATATACGTTAGAGAACTTGTATCTAACACATATTGTGCACATAAGGAATCACAACAAATACATAATGCATAAGAACCAGTATCTAGCACACAACAACCAATATATATATAACCACTGTAAGTACTTACCACACAAGAATTAGTATTTCAAAAACAATAACCAGTATGTATTGCACATGAACCGATCTTCTTACTTTTAGCTAGAATATAACACACTACAATTGGTATTTGATGCAAAGTAAGTGAATAAAAATAAATTACAATTTAATGGAGAATAACATTACCGAAGGAAAAATTGAATGAAAAGGAATGCTACTTTATTTATTTCTATAATTGGATAACTCAATTGATGTGATAAATAAAATATAAATATTTACTATGATGTATATGGAAAAGTCAATTGACATACCAAAATTGATTAGAGGAAAGTTAGCATTTCCATTAGAAACGTATATCCTACAAGATCGGTTACCAAACTGCCAAGCATGATAAGACTAAAATAACCTTTACTAACATTTACTTGATCGAAGATTGGTTAAGATTTTGGATGGCTTGGATTTGTTCTCACTTCTCACATTAAGGGATGTTCTCATTTGAACCAAATTCTATATATATATATATATATATATATATATATATATATATATATATATATAGGGGTGAGTTCTAATACAAAGAGGTCTTCCCATGAAAAATGAGAAGTGATTTAAGCCCTTGATTACTTAAAAATGGATGGTATAGATCAAAACTCACGGCCAACCAAAATGTGTAATACATAATAGCAAAAGTGCATATGCAATACGTAATGGTGCACATTCAGCTACTAAAAAATATATCAGAAACAATAGTTATACTTCTTATTTTTTCCTAAAAAGTGATGCACTTTTGTGTTAGTCTAATGCACTTTTCCTCCGTAGTCATGCACATTTGTCACGTTATTTTTAAAAAAACTTTTTGATAATTACACTTTTGGCACCGAATTTTACCCTTAAAAATTGATCTCATCCACTCATTTTCTCATCTTAACGGTCAAGATTACTTCTCACTTTTCATATAAGGAGTACTTTTTATTTGAACCTCCCTCTCTCTCTCTCTCTATATATATATATATATATATATATAGAGAGAGAGAGAGAGAGAGAGAGAGAGAAGATCATGTGAGAAGTCCCCCTTAGGCTGAGAAGTTGCGAAGTCTAACTTATAAGCTAAAAACACGAACTTTTAATCAATAAATCATAACTTATAGACCCCCTCCAAAAAAAATTACGAAAATGCCACTGCGTCAAAATAACTGCGGAAACCTGGAATTTTGTTTTGACGCGGTGGCATTTTCGTAATTATTTTTGAGGGGGTCTATAATTTATGATTTATTGGTTAAAAGTTCGTGTTTTTTGCTTATAAGTTAACTTCGCAGCTTCTCAGCCTAAGGGCACTTCTCACCTGATCCGCTCCATATATATATATATAGAATTTTATTCATGTCCGGAATTCCGGACAGGAACCGCCGTCCGGACGGCGTCGTTTGGCCGCCTTCCCGGTGATATTTTTTGATGAACTTTTTATGGAATGTTCTCCATCAAGTCTAGTTTATCCACAAAAAAATTCAGCCAAAAACTCAATCAGGAAGGTCGTCAAATGATTTTTGCAAGTTAACTCGTCCGGAATATGTATTTTCTGGACCAGTTAACTTGAAAAAATCATTTGACGACCTTCCCGAATGAGTTTTTGGCTGAACTTTTTTGTGGATAAACTAGACTTGATGAATAACATGTCATAAAAATTTCATCAAAAAATTCCACCCGGAAGGCGGCCAAACGCCGCCGTCCGGACGGCGGTTCCGGTCAGGAATTCCTGACCGGAAGAGTACTCTCTCTCTCTCTATATATATATATATATATATATATATATATATATATATATATATATATATATACACACACTTTAATTTAGCTTTTATAATTAATTCCAACCCCCCAAACCCCTCCAAAATACCTAGCCCAACCCGCTTATCACCAAAAAACATTGAAAAATAATGGGCCTGGCCCGTCCGGGCCGGGTACCAAAGGAGCTGCAGCCTGGAACCGCCCCCCACCAATCACCCCGGGCCGGTCCTAGGCTCGGAACCGGTCCCGGTTAATTGGGTTGGTCCGGTCCCGCACAGTGCGGTCTGTTCTGATTCTAGGCCGGTCAGACCAGAACCGGGCCACCCCTACTACTTTGGTTGGATTGTTTGAGACTTGTGATTGATTTCGTATACATCCTGAATACGGGAATGTAATCATCCTTTTCTTCAGTGACAGTAGTAGTTCCAAATTTGTTTTGTGAGGATTTATTCCCTATTTGTGAGTAGTTAGTAGAACCATATCCTGACTACTTAGACTTCTTACTACTCGAAGGGTTTGAAATCTCATTTAGAGGATGTGCACACTTAAGGTAGAGATGTCTTGTTTCTAATTATTTGCGGCTGATAGGATCTGCAATTGGGGTGAGCCGTGGGGGCTGTGGTGACTATCACGCACTCGCTAGGCTAAAGGAATTTTGCGTTCTGTTCTTCTCTAGATAATTAAATAAGACGTGAAAAACTATTTGATTTTGATATATACTTGAGAATGAGCATGTTTTCAAATAAATATGTTACTACCTCGTTACTATGTTAATTATTTTAAAGATTATGATAATGAACGGATTTTAAATGTTTTGCTAAGATATGACAAGTTTTGAAGTTACTTGTATTTTATTAAAGTATAAATAATGTTTTCAAGACTGGAATATTTTCAAAATGTACTAATTTTCGAACTATATAATGCATTAATAAAAATTTTCATCATTTGCAATGGAGCCAAAGATTCATTATTTTTTGGCTTGAGAATATGGTGGAATAAAGCAAAATGGCTCACTAAACTGTCTGCGCTTCTTTATTATGAAGCAGCAGTTAGTCCATGGAATATTGGACGTGATTTTCACTATGGGTCATTCGAAAACAGTCTCTTTGTGATTTAGAACAGATGGGAGACTGCGTACATCCTACCCCTTGCCCAACCGTAGGTGGGAGCCTTTGCGGCACTGGGGTCTGGGGTAATTGAAAATGATAATGTATAAATAAAACTATTTTTGAGAAACTATATTATCTTGCGAGGTTGAGTGTCTTACTTAATTATAAAGTTGATTTTTGTTTCTTTTCTTTTCTTTTGATTCTGCACTTTATTTGGTGTAGGTGAAGATGATTGTGCTTGATGTTGAGATTTCGGCGCTTAAACACTTTGATTGTTTTTGTTTGTGGTTTATCATGAGCGCACTAACACCCATTGACTATTTTTATTCTGTCGCAATTCAAACTCTTATAAATTTCAAAACTTGGTATTCTTAGAATCTATTTTAGATATGAACTTTGGCGGTGATATAGACTCTATCACCATATGGGCCCAACATTCACACTCGGGACACGATTCGACCCAATTGATACCTATCTCGCTCGATACCTTCCCGAATAGTATTGGACACTTAGAGCTTGCTCACATATAGTTTCCTTGCAACATGATCTCCACCACTCGGAGATTGGCGGGAAACCGGCGCAAATATGGATGATTTTAGGGTTGGGATCAATGCCGAAAGAAACAACCATAGGCAGACCAAAACATATACACACATGCGTGTGTGAACATATACACACATGCGTGTGTGTGTTACTCTTCAAAGCGCTCTGTATGCGTTTCATCAGTCACAACATGAAAAAGTCACACGTCAAAAGTGAATATTGTTAATGCAAACAAAAAATATCAAATTCAAGTGCTGAGGTTACAATTCACAAAGGACTCTTCATCATATTCAAAAGGACCGTAGAACAACAATCGGACATAAGATGCATATTTCTTTGTGCTTTTACCACTTATCAAATTCTTGTAAATAAAATATTCGTATGATCTGTTTCCATTCCATATTTGCATCTTATTAAAATTGGTGCGAAGTGTAATAATAAAATGAAGAATGGTTTTTTCATTAAAGCACAACATCTGAAAGTGTAATTGGGCCATCAACTTTACATAAACAAAGCACGAAATAGTTTAGTGAAATTCATTTAGAAAGTACTAACCCCCTCTTCCACTCTGTGGTGTTTCGGTTCTGGCCTTAAGAAGAACAATCGGAAATAGTCCGAGCCATCTTTTCTTACCCAGTAGTTGGCGAGTGCTTGATAATTTGCCTCTTTTTCCGAAGCCACGTCTTTAACCGCCATGGTTATGTAAAGAACGTAGCCACTTGTGTTGGCTCGAATAACCCGTACCAGTTCCAGCTCCGGACTCTGCATTGCATAAATTGGAAAAGGCATCAATTGTAGTCTCAATCGGTATTTGGTAACTAATAATAACATGCGAAAAGAACATATAACCTTGGGGTTCTGGGTTTTGTGCATCTTTATTGCACGACGAGCTGCCTCATAAACATCAGCTTTGAGGGTTGCATCATTCTCAATGTCCATAGGCTGAATCCCACCAAAGATACCAACACCCTCCGGCCATAAACTCATGTCCACATGAAAACCCTATGATTGATTCAACAAACAATCCAGCATCAACACAAATATTCCGGTCAGGAATTTCCTGACCGGAGCCCCGTCTGGCCTCCTCAATTTGGGGGCCTTTCCGGTGGTATTTTTGCATACCAAATTTCAGCAAAATATTCAATCGGGAACGTTGTCAAATGATTTTTGCCACTTAACTGGTCCGGAATATGTATTTTCCGGACCAGTTAACTTGCAAAAATCATTTGACAACCTTCCCAATTGAATTTTTTGCTCAAATTTGGTATGGATAAATTAGACTAGATGAGGAACATACACAAAAAAGTTTAACAAAAAATAACACCGGGAAGGCCCCCAAGTGGAGGAGGCCGGACGGGGCTCCTGTCCGGAAATTCCGGACAAGAATAGCATATTGAGGGCAAATTCTAAGGCGTAAATCAAATCAATTTGTAGAGAAATTATGTTTATATAAACATCTTAATTTGTAGAGCGATTTTGTAATTTGTATCGTACGCCTCAGCCCTGAAAGACGTCAAAGTAGTTTGGCCTTGAATCGATCCATCGCAACATGCCTGGAAATCTACGATTCTATTTCGCAATTTCAAACAATGATTTGGATATGTGTAATACTTACATGATACTTTCGAACGTGATCCTGGTAAGCATAATATTTATCCATTTGCTCTTCCGTCAGGGTCGGCCCACCAAAACCATCGCTATCGCTTTCCTCGTCTTCTGTCTTAGCCCTCTTCGGAAGTGGTGAACCATCGTCATCCTCAGAACTCTCCTCCTCCTCTACCGCCTCCGTCTCAGCCTCATCCTCCAACCCTAAATCGAAATGAATCGGAAGCATACCCATGTTTAGCATCTTCAGCGCCCTGGATCTGTTCAATCTCTATTCTGAAGCTTCTTGTCTTGTTTGGTAAACAATGTACAAAAAACCTCAAATTATGGGCCAGGGTTTAATTAAAAAGGAAATTATTACGTACTAGTACTAGTAGTACTTCGTACGAAGTACAAAATAACTTAAGTAAAAATAAATTACTTTTTCACTTTTTAATACTACTATACATATTATTTTCAAAATTAGAGCCTGTATCGTAGCTAGAGATGACAATTTTGACCGACCCGTTGGATATCCGCACCGAACCGATTTGGTTAAACTGGGGAAAACCGGTTTGACTGGGGAATGGGTACGGGGCGGGGAATACCTGAATTTTTTAAATGGTTAATGGTGCGGTTATGGTTCTATACTAATCCACCCCGTTATCCGCCCCGAAACCGCCCCGTTCACTAGTGGTGCGGGTACCCGCACCGTTACCCAATCGATAACATTATTAATAAATTATAACTTTTTATATATAAGAATAATAACTATATTTGCTAAATTGTGTATAATAAATAGTATATATCATATAAATAATGCTAAAAAGTATACTACTTTTTTAGGCCTAAAACTAAATATAGGCCTAAACTTATTTTTGAAATTTGGATTCTGGGATGATTACTACTTTTTTATTATGTTACAAGAGATATTGGGTGCATGTCATACTAATGAATTTAGGTCAGTCTGCTTGATTGCTTAAATGTTTGTTTTTGTATGTTTTAGGGTGCTTTGAATAACAAGTAGGATTAAAATTGGTTATTTGTTTTCCCAAAAAAAGTTGGTTATTTGGTATCATTTGGGGAAACGGTTACCCGTGGATAAACCGATTCCCCATTGGGGCGGGTACGGTTCAAATAAAAATTACCCGAATGGGTAATGGGGCGATTTTGGGACAAACATTTATCCAACGGGGCAGTTCCGGTTTTATGTGTACCCGTCCCCGATCCGCCCCGTTGCCATCACTAATCGTAGCACGAAAATCGGCTGATTTGGCTGATTCTGTTGAAATTTATGAAATTCTGGCTGCATTGGCTGATTCTGCTGATTTAAGAAAAAAATTATTTTTAAAATATATTTTATTAATAAAATAAAGAAAAAATAACTCCCTCCGTCCCACTATATTTGTTCTATTTTACTTTTTCGGTCCGTCCGATTAAGATTGTCTTATACCTTATTTGATAAAATTTGTGTGGTTCTAAATGATTCTTACTTTATTCTTACTTTATCATTTCATTATAACCACAAAAACTCACTTTTATTAATAACCGTGTCACCTTCTTTTATCCCAAACTTAGGGGAATATCTCTATAATATAATAAAACAAATCTTTAGCTTGACTTTATGGGAAATGATGACATTAGGCAGAACTATTTGAATGAAAGATTGACATGTGGCAAAACTCTTGATGTGACAAAACTATTTGGATCTGATTCTCAAAACTGATTCAGTTCTTTCAGGGAGCAAAAGCAGAAGGTGGAATGTTTGGGTTAAATTCCAGAAGCACTTTTGGTGCTCAAATTTACTCTCAGAAACAGTTTTTTTAGAAGCTGATAGGTACCAGCTTATGAAAACTGATTCTAATTCTGCTTCTTCTTTAAAAAAGCAAAAGCAGAATCAGTTCCAAACACCCCCTTAGTTTTTTTTTAAATAAATGTGTTTTGGGCTGCTTCCAATATCATCGGCCTGGACCTCCTTCGTCTAGGAAAAATCGGTTCACAGAATGTTGTCCGAAGCCCAGGAGCAGAACTTGGACCTCCATCGGTCAGGCCTTCCATCGGCCTGGTCGTCCATCTGCCAACGAGACTCCAGTAGACTAGACTTTATACTTAGCTCTAGAAATCATGTACTCAGCCCATTAGTGATCTCATTTTGTACCGGGTCTCCCAGACCCAAGTCATGGGAGCTCAAACCCACATTTTTCCTATAAATACTCATATAGGGGTAGTTATAGGGAGTTGAGAAATATTAATTGCAATTTTTTTCTTTCTAGCTCTCACTTCTCTCTAGATTAATACTCTATCAATTAAATTCTGTTTTATGTAGTATGCCATCAAGTTTGGTTCAAGATTTTCTTTATGTACTTTTTTGGGATAATTAATACTCCCTTCGTCCCGAAAAAGTTCACTAAATTGACTTTCCTTGATCAATGACAATCAACTTCAACTAATGATATTTTTTAATACGAATTTGATTTGAATATGAAAGTTATATCAAAATGTTCCTTGTTCAAAATATTTTCATAAAAGTATAAAATTTAAAAATTATATAGTAATGTAATAATTAAAATAAATGTTCAAAGCTCGCCATCATTAACCAAGAAAATCAATATGGCGAACGGGACGGCCGGACGGATGTAGTATGATTTTTTTTTCATCAAATTGAATTCTGTATTTGGAGCAGATTTAAAATAAGGATAAGGAACCAACTTAAATTTAGAATTTTTCACTTTTTATCTTAATTGGTTTCTAGTTTCCACAAATAAATAAATGAGGAACGAAGTAGAATCCGATGACATGCACTGTGTAATTAAGTTTGATATATCATAATGATGTATCTCATCTCTTTGCGTGTTTAGGTTAACCAGGTTTTGGTTTTACGAGCTATGCTATCACATTTGTATTTTATTTGATAATTAATTTTATTTTGTTTCAGCTTTTTTATTACTTTTTTTGGAGCACTTTAATTAAGAACAAGATATTACCTAAATTTGTGGAAAGTTTACCGTTTTTGTATTTAATGGATTTTTTGAGAGTACATACACACATTATTTTATTTGTGAGGTTTAGCGACCATTTATAATAATAATAATAATAATAATAATAATAATAATAATAATAAACTAATAATTTTTGTAAGGACCGTTTATTCCGTCTCCGGCTCAGGTCTTTCTACACACTACTCACATACACCACACTAGGAGGAGGCTATAACACACCTATCTCTCAACTCTCTTCTTCTAACCACAAAGGAACTCACAAAGAGGAAGAAGGAAGACACTGCTCTCTGGAAGTGTTACTCTCGCAGGCTTAATTCACAAAGGCAAGGAAGAGTGTTGACTTATAGTAGGCTGCCAGCCTATGGGCAGACAACAAGGACAGTCACAAGGTGGTAAGGACACTCACGGGTATAAGCTAAGCCAAAAAACAGGTTGCAGCGGACAGAAGCAATGGGGTAGCAAACCAGGTATATAATTGATCAGGTAATATACCAAGGTAAAGGTGTCAAAGAGGGAGTAAATTAATAGGGTGCAAGCCTCAGCTAATAAAGTGGAAGGGAGGCCTTGGTAGGACCAATACCTCCAACATTCTCCACCTTATTGGTCCTAGGTGGTGTAGAGTAACAAAACAAAGTTGTGACAAGACTCATCATCGCCGGGTCACCCGGAATATCAACAGACACAACGGGCAAACACTTTATTAGGCAACCCACAGTTATCCACAGTCAAAGTTTAACACGCGTTTACAGGACAAGTGCTTCTCAGCAGAAAGACACTTGGTACCCATATCCGCGGGGTTAAACTCCGACGGGATCTTGCACAGCTTGACTCCACCTGCATCAACAATATCACGTATGAAATGGAACCTAACATCAATATGCTTAGTTCTATCATGAAATACAGGATTTTTGCAAAGTTGGATAGCCGATTGGCTATCCGAGAAAATAGTAACTCCCTTTTTGAGAAACCCAATTTCGGAGACAAGGCGTTTGAGCCAGATGGCTTCCTTAAACGCTTCTGTGGCTGCAACATACTCGGACTCAGTGGTAGAAAGGGCCACAATAGGCTGTAGTTGAGACTTCCAACTAATGCAAGAGCCACACAAAGTAAAAACATAAGAAGTGGTCGACTTCCTGTTATCTCTATCATTTGCATAGTTAGAATCAACATAACCAATCAATTCAATACCACTAGCACATTTAGAGAAAATTAATCCATGCTTCACAGTAGAAATCAGATATCTAAGCAACCACTTAAGAGCATTCCAATGGGGCAAACCAGGGTTGGACATATATCTACTCAAGCAACTAACCGCATATGCAATATCAGGTCTAGTGCTAACCATAAGATACATCACCGACCCTATTGCGCTGGAATAAGGCACAGATTTCATTTTCTCAATTTCAGGAGCAGTCTTGGGAGACTGGTCCTTACTTAACACAAAGTGAGATGCCATAGGGACATTAACAGGAGAAGCAGATAACATATTAAATTTACTCAAAACTTTTTCTATGTAAGAAATCTGATTCAAAGTAAGAGTACGCTTACTCCTATCCCTAACAATGTTTATGCCTAGGATCCTCTTGGCATCACCTAGGTCTTTCATGGCAAAATTCGCACAAAGACATTTCTGCACATCTTTAATAGCATTCAGAGAAGGACTAATTATCAGCATGTCATCCACATAGAGTAACAAAAATACAGGCACAGAAGAAGTATTTTTGAAATACAGGCAATGATCACAAACAGATTTCTGGAACTTCAAAGATATCATGCATTTATCAAATTTGATGTTCCACTGCCTAGGGGATTGCTTCAGGCCATACAAAGCCTTCCTAAGCAAACAGACATGCTCACTTCTCTTGGGATCCACAAAGCCCTCAGGCTGGGTCATATAAATTGTTTTATCCAATTCACCATGCAAAAATGCAGTAGTTACATCCATCTGTTTCATTTCCCAGTCATGGTGAGCAACTAAAGCAAGCATCATACGAATAGTGGTGAATTTAACAACAGGAGCAAAGATTTCTGTATAATCTACCCCCTCTTTTTGAGTAAACCCCTTCGCAACCAACCTAGCCTTAAACCTAACATCACTAGGTTCTTCCTTAACCTTAAACAACCACTTACACTCAACTACTGAACAGTTGGGAGGTCTAGGTACAAGGGTCCAAGTCTGGTTCACTCTCAAAGAGTCCATCTCATTTTTCATGGCACTAATCCATTTCTGAGACTCTTTGGAACCTAAGGCTTCACGGTAGGTCTTGGGTTCATTCAGCTCTAGGGATTCAAACACAGAAAATGCAAACATA